GTTTTATATTTGTGCTGGAGACAGTGTTGATAACACAGGGATGTTTTAGTTATTTCTGAGCAGTGCTTACACACTCAAGGCCCCTTCTGCTTCTCTACTATCCCACCACTGAGTGGGCTGAGGGTGCAAGAGTAGTTGGGTGGTGCTTAGTTGCCAGCTGGGGTTAAACCAAAACCCCTGGGTAACTAGCGGACTTGTTTGCATTAAGATGGCAATCATGTATATCTCTGGAAGGAAGCTAATATTCTTGGGTTTATTCTTATCATAGTATTTCTTATCATAGCGTATTAATACAGTATGCTCTTATAATAGTCTACTGTTACTGTATGATTCTCCTTCAGAGTTAATTCATCCTTCTTAAATACTGATAAGCAGAACTTTACACAGTATTTCACAGAAGTGTAACTCCTTTCTGACCAACAGTGTCTGGCCTGATGTCTCCTTGGATCAAATTTGTCTTGATTTTCACTGTCACATCACACTGTTGGCATTTATAATTCTATAAACAAGTACATTTCTTCTAACCTGTGATTCTCAACTGATGAAGCTGGTATCAGAAGCCCTAGGCAATCCCTAGTCTGAAATGTCATCTTATTACGATGAATTTCTTTCCATTATTCCAGTTGTTACTGCCTCCAGTTCTTCCTCAAAGGCATATGTCTGCCTGGTAATCCCTCCTGGCTTTGTCATTAACAATTCTGGTAGCACACTCATCATCCTACTGTGACAGCTTAGTCATAAATAAAGATGACTCAAGAATCATTAAAATCCTAAACTGATCTGTTTCTCCAATATTCTCCAGTTTGTGCATCTCACAGCAAGAGAAAAAAGAAAGTTCTTGCCTTATATGATAAAAATACTTGTGAACTTTGTTCAGAGTATTAAATATTGGAAAAGAAAGTTAAACAGCCATCTCCTCAAAAAATCCCAAGTCTCATAAGTGTACATCCTGCCTGCAACACAGACATCAAAATCCAGGCTTTAGTTTGTTCATGAATGGTTAGCTCTCAGATACATACTGAATTTCCAGTTAACAGCTAGATTCTTATGCTTTGAAGACAACAAGAATTTGCTAACTCGTAAGTAAATTGCCCTATGAACTGTTTTGACTTACCCCTGTAGAAGTCCATTGACTTTTCTAACAGAACATGTCAGTTCTTGAGCAGTGATGCTTGCAGACTTTGTTTCTCTCTACTTCTTTGACAATAAAAGCTACACTGAAAGACATGATAACCTCATTTCACACTAATAAAACCCACACAGAATGTCTCGCTGTGGTGTTTCACACCCTAAACAAACAAGAAAGCACAGGGAGTACAGACAGAACCCCTACTATGAACTTAAATAACTGTCAGTTTTTACGGGAATGCCATCACAGCGATCATAAACAGGAGCACAAAAATATTTTAAACATACTTCTCTATGTTTCATAGGGAAAAGCAAGTAGGAAGCTAGACCCAGACCCCACAGACCTCTGGTGATCTGTTTGTAGCAACAGAGCAGAAAATGCAAACAACAAAGAGTACTGGTTAAAAAACAAACAAAACCAAACACAAAACTAAGATGTCCAGAGTATAAAAACAGTAGGATGAAATTTCAGAATGCCAACCTTGTAATACTACACCATACAAATAGGGGCCTTTGGGTTAGTACTGAGTAACTGAGTCACTTTTATTTGTGTATGTGTCAACAGCATACTCAACATTTTACTATAAAATACCCAGACAAACAAAAAACCCCCAACAAACAAATATGGGGTTCAGAATTATTGCTGATTTGGGGCACATTTATTTAAACACCTCTGCCCCGTTTTCAGAGAGCAGGTGTCTTCTGTAGGAAAAGGGAGAAAAGGGGAAGAAAATACAAAAAATCCTAATAATGTCTACTTGAATTCTCAAATCTTAAATTTAAATCCTAAATTCTTAGTCATTCGAATCATTAGAATTCTTAGTCATCTTCCAAGCTGAGGATGACTCCCTTGTATTTTATTTCTTTATGGGTTTTTTTTTGAATGAAACTTATTTAAATTTTATATTGGAATAGCCACAAATTGGGTTTGGGCTGCTAAAGTAACTTCTAACTAGAAGTTTCCAGGAGATAAATGTTCAGATTCTGTGGATCCATACTCATTCAAGATTTTTTTACAAGACTACACCTAAATGGTAATGAATGACAACTAATAATTGAACTGTATAGCTGCCCAGCAACAAAAATCAGGGACCTGCTTTCACAACATGAGTGAATTGCAGTCATTCGAGGCATCTCTTACCAGCAAAACAACTTCAGGCTGTAGGAATGAAATCGTTTTAAGATGTGGACTTAAGGACGTTATCTAGTTTGAACAAGTTATCTAAGCTTTATTGTCATGTTATATTGCAATCCAGAGGGGTAAGAACATTATTTTATGCCAGGTATCAGAGTATTCTCAATTAACAAAGTTTAGAGAATCAGAAGAATGTCTGTAAAGCAATGCATGTACATACATGAACACTACCTCAGTTTACAAAGCTGTGCTCTGCAGAGGTGAGGAGGAAGATCTGCTTTTATTTTTTTGTCTCAGATTCATATACAACACCTGAAGTCAGGAAAAGGGTTGGTTTGAAAAGTATGTCAGTAGAAAGGAATGTGAGTGTACAAGTCATCTAAATACACCTAATTTTAATAGCTGAGCATGTCAAAATGATATCTTCATGAGACACGGCAGTCCTACAGGTGGTATCACAGCATCAATCGCTGCATTTCAGTTGAAACAGTGATACAGTTGTACATCAAATGGTAGCTAGTTGGGAGTGCTGGAAGGATTCCCTTGGCTAACGATAATTCAATAAAAGGGGGAGTGGAATTTAAGTCGGCCAATGACTGCAGGGTCAGAATTATTTTCAGACTCATACAAAGTTACAGCTTTTAGTCCATGGCTGTAGTGAAATGTTTGGATGTTGGGTCACTGCAGTTGAGTCAAACAGCAGCAAAAGTCCCTAGAAAAATGATGATTAAGAGAAACCAGCTTAGACTTGTACCAGAAATAATCTTACTAATGTAATCAAAAGGTTTCTAAGTTATAGGCTCAAGTACCTACTAAATAGGAACTGAAGTGAGTGCCTACTTGACATCTGCCATGGAAGTGCCTTAAAAAGCAAAGAAAAAAGATTTGGAAAATCTAATTACTGGTTGCTTTTGGTTCCCCCCTCCCCAGTGACTCAGGAATTAGTCTCCTGAATCCCAGACATTTGAACATGGATGTCTCCTCTTCCAACTTCCTCTCTCTCTGCCATCCCCGTAGGGACCACGAGTGAAGTTTGTCTAGATTTCCTCTGAATGTCTGCACAGTGTTTCTCCTCCAACGGCAGACACTACTACTGTTCTTATTTTTAGTACCACAGACCAATCAGAATGACTCGGGGAATTCTTGCTCATGCACAGACTCCAGTGGGAAGAGTTCAAACTCGGTGCCAGATCGCTGCATTTTCATTCAACACTGCTGAATTTTACAAGTGGTCCAAAGAAACATTTGTACCTGTTGTTCCTATTACAAACCCAACAACACGTATGTGGGGTGTACTTTGTTTTCAGTAACCTATCTTGACCAAAACCCAGAGGTGACTTCCACTGGAAACATACTGGAAACAGCCACTTTGTAGCCTTAAGGAACAGCAAGGATTATTTTGTAGTCTTCATAGTTTGAAATTCTTTCTAATGAAAACTCTTGGCTTTTAACCCCTGAACACTTGAAACTGAATGCAATTCGTCCTGAGCTACACTTCTTCAGGTGAAGTGTGAAACTCAGTTGCCAGGACAACAGGAGAATACTCTTCTTCTAATAAAGTCGATCTTTATCTTTCCAGTGCTAGGAAGCGTAGGTACACATTTAGGAGTGGAACTCTAACCCTAGTGAAAACCATGGAAGAAAAGCCTTACAGTCTAATTAATAGCATTTTAAAGAATATTAGTTATTAATTACAACACAAATCTTCCATGTAGTTTTCTAACTGAAGGATGCAACATTTAAACACATAAAATGTATTTTCTGTAACAGACTATTCTGTCTTTGACCTCAGGTTCGCTTTATTCATTTATAAATGCAGGGAATAAGTAACTGTTCAGTAGGCAAAAAAAAGAAAGCCCTTAAAATCTACAAGGGTAGTACAGATCACTGTTTTTGTTGTTTTAAGGCATTTTGTAATAGAACAGGCCGCTCACACTTCCAATGCTATTTATTTCACAGAGCGTGTTTTTAGAGCGTATTTCTGTTGCTGTTGCACAATAGTAGCAGCTCCAAGCTCTACTATGCTATACACTTCGCTTCTTCTCTGTTGCAAGAAACTGTTCACATGGCAATACCAACTCTCTCAAATCACATGGAGAATACCATAAAGAGTCATTAAGGGAAGATCTTGGAACTGAAAGAAGAAATGCACCAATGATGAAATGGTAAAACTAAAAGATTTATCTGACACAAAGTGAAAATAAATCTTTTCTTGCATGAGCTTAAAAACAACTTCAAATTCACATCTAGCTCTTCCTTTTGCTACATATATTTATACTACATACGAGCAAGTAGACTAAAGCTTTAAGAATGGATGGCTACACTCAGATAGGGAATGTGATTTTTCTATTCCAAAATTATGTTTCTTAAGAAAGAGAATGATCTTTCTGGTTCTTTTCGCAGTACTTCTGAAATACCTTTGTCTAAGTCTTGTTTTCACCACTGTGATTTTGGAATTATGTTGCTGCCTATGAACTTTCCATTTTTTAATTTATTTTTCTGGAAGGAGTAATACAAACTATATTTTATTATTAGTTTTCAAGTTCCACCATCACCCAAAATACTTATGCACAGATAACACATCAGACTAGTTTATTATTATTTCTGTTATTATGAAGTCTGAAAGAATAAAAATCCATTGATTTTGATGTAGTACACAACAGTTTATATTGTGAAGGAAAAGGGAAATACATTATCCTAGAAATGTGGATCAGTGATGGAGATTCTATGATTCTATGATTCTCAGAGGGTGGTTCCACTTTGGTGCCTTGCCATTCCTGCTCTTCTTGAGCAGAGAAAGAAGTTTTCATGTTGTGCCATGTTACATTATCAGTGGGGGGAGATAATCTGCCAAACCAAACCAAAATTAGAACAAATGTGGAAGGGCTAATAGAGATCTTAATTTACAAAAACCAGCAAGGAAATCTGTCACCAGGAATTAAGAAGTTAGATGTAGATTTCCATTATTTCATGACAGTCTTTTAAACTTTAAATACAGTTTTCCTTTTGACAACTTCAACCATAAAAGAAGCACTATTTCTGTGCAAAGGGTTAGCTAAAATAAGAATTGTATCTACTGGAGAAAATGCATTGTTTTGCTGAGCTTAATCTGAAATAAATCTTTATGCTATTTGTTGATGTTCTGCATGGAGACCACACTTAAAAGGAAGCTAATCTGTAAAGAAGACCAACTGTAACCACATCAGAGTGAAGTGGGGTTTTTTTGTTGTACTTTATTATTTTTCCATAGAGGACCACAACAGAAAACAGAACTGGAAGGAACCACAAAATTGAAGAAAGACACAGCTGACATTCTCACAGTCTTGGCTCTGCAGCTAGTGCAAAAGGAGACAGAATGCTCAGCTTCTCTGTAATATGCATTTCCTTGTTAATGGACACAAAAATTAAGTTGCAAATGAAAGCTGCTAAGGCTTTCTCCCAGCAAAGCTTTTATCTAATTTCAAACTGTATGAGGCAAAACTCATTCTCTCTGGAAAGTACTGGGATTTCTTTTGACAAATGGTTTTTGGATCCAGGATGAAGTTTCAGGTTCAAAAATAAGACAGGCAGAAGGCACAGAAAATGCTAGGATAGCAAGTGCATGCTGAAAAGCCATGGGGTCTCGCATGCTCATGTGGGATAGTGAAGAAAGCAGACTTGCATCCAGCAGTCTCACATCCCTGAGGCTTAGCTTGCCCACTGTCCTCAGGTGGAAACTTTCTCTCTTGCACACTGAATATGTAGCTGTCCAAAGTGAAACAACTAAAAATAAATGGTAAAGGTTTATCCAGACACAATCAACACCCTACACTTGTGCTGAATATGGAAAAAAAAGATGTTTCAAGTCTCTGTTCCCAGTCAGTGTTTGGTGCTTTTCCCTTTCTAACTTCAAGGTGAATTTTATAGACTAGATCAAGGTATCCCAAAATTATGAAAAAGAGAATGGAGATCATTAAGGATTATAATAAAACATACATATAATCCTGAAGGGTTATAATGAAGTAACTTTTATAGTTCAAGGTTTTTAGGTCTGGTTACTTCAAAGGCATCTCTTCTATACCTCCCTACAGATCTCCCATCTGAAGCATAACATCTTTAAGTGAACACTTGAGACTATCTTTGACCATGCTGATACCCATCAAGATGTCAGCTTTCACAGAAAGCCAACAGAAAGCTCTGTTTTAAGTAAAAACACAATCAGACTGATAGGTTGGAATTATCAAAGAAAAAAATCTGAAAGAAAGAGAAGAGAAACAGGAACCGGCTTAACCATGATATCAAAGGCTTTTAAAAAATAATTGCAAACAGATTTGCTATCTATTTTTGTTTTCTTACAAGAGAAGAACAGAGAGACTTGCAACCAAATTCCAAACAAAAGATATATAAATAAAATAGCTTCCTCCCTACAAAAAGAATATTTCAATTATGAATGATGAATTTTGGAAAAGAAAGATTTTCCTTTGGTTTTCAACAACATTCTGTGTTTCTCTGTTCACAGTTGTTGGAAATTCACTAAATACCTCCAATACCAGAAATGAGAAATGAGGCTCAATTTACAGAATTTCAGACTGGTTTGGAAAACACCTTAGGACCATCCAGTTCTAACCCCCTGCCACAGGCAGGGACACCTTCCACTAGACCAGGTTGCTCCAAGCCCCTACAACCTGGCCTTGACCACTGCCAGGGATGGGGCAGCCACAGCTTCTCTGGGCACCCTGTGCCACCCTCACTTCTTCCTTATATCTAACCTGAACTTCCTCTGTTTCAGTTTGACCCCATCACCCCTTGTCCTGTCACTACAGTCCCTGATGAAGAGTCCCTCTTCAGCATCCTTGTAGCCCCCTTCAGACACTGGAAGCTGCTCTGAGGTCTCCACGCAGCTTCTCTTCTCCAGGCTCAACAGCCCCAATGCTCTCAGCCCGTCTCCATACAGGAGGTGCTCCAGCCCCTGATAGTCCTCCTGGCCTCCTCTGGACTTGCTCCAACAGCTCCATGTCCTTCTTAAGTCATCTAAAATAAACAGGTCACAGTTGACCCTTTTAAACTCTTAAGTGAATTATTCCTTACATTTGCACTAAACATACTCCTCTGCAAACTATTTACACCTTTTATTGTGGTGTGACTGATAGACTTGTCAAGTAGAAGCATTCTAGTGTCATCACTCATCACCAAATGCTGTAAAGGGCAAGTTTTAGCTTTCCTGGATTAGATATCTTTTTTTAACCTGCTTTTTTCCACCCTCTATCAAGGAGCTAAAGTGATATTTGCTTGCTATTTATTTGTTTAAAGTATGAATAATAAGTCTTGTATCACTTTCAGGACTGAGATCATCTCAAAGAAGGAAGACCTCATAGGGAATTAACTGCCTAAGTATTTTACAAATCTTGGTGTAAGTCTAAGGGACCAAATACATTTCTCCTTCCCCTCTGTACGTGAAGTGTCATCATTGTGCTGGTAACAGGGAAGAGAAAATAGATTCTGGTTTTCCACATTTCATCATGTCTGGCATGATCTTTTGTCCCTGGTGACATCTCCTGGAGCAGCCACAGCTGCAACTGCTAGTGAAAAAGCTTTTCTTAGAACCATCATTCACAGAGCTCTTTTGCCTCTTAGGCATTTAGTGAAGCACTAGATGTTGAAGCTTGCACTTTACTGGAAGTTGGCTGATGTCAGTGGACACAAATGTGTTCATTAAGTACACTGAGGTTACCCTTGGTATTGTCATTTTGTTCTTTGCAGAATTTGAATTCAAAATAATGAGAAAGACAAAAATCAAATTACATCCAGTGAGGTTCTGTTTCCTCTAATCATGAATACGACAATTACTGATCTGTATATACACACACAGTGGGTATTTAATTCGAAAATTCCTTAGACTAGCAAGGATTAGTAGTAAAACATCAACAAAAGGTATTTTGAGTCACTTTACCTAGAGCTGTCCAGCATCACGGTACTAACTGTGTACTACATGGAAAGGGCTATCAACTTTATCCTGTCCTTGAGCCAGACTGTTCAGCCTAGCCTCAGTATCTATAGATTTAGACCAACATTTAGAATTTAACAAAAAAAAAATCTCATTTTCTTACACCCATTGAGGCTGAAAATAAAAGAAACACCAGGAGACCACTACTGGGTTCTCTTTCAGTACTCAAGAAAATACAGTAATATGGAACTACAGAAATCTTCCATGTGCAAAACTACTTCTGAAAGTTCCTCTTCAGTGTCCCATCTTTAGTCTTCTAATCCAACCTTAAAATTCATTGACCCAAATGCTAATTTAGGTCATGCTTTTCATTAAGCCATATAAACAGACTTTTTTAATAATGCCCCTAACAAACATAAGTCAGTCTAACTTTCAGTGCTATTTTGCACTCATTGGTAAATGAGAATAGATAAATTGAGTCAAAATATTGACGGGCACTTAACAGGAGTCCTGGAACAAGTATGGAGGGGGATAAAATGAACACAGTCACTATTTGCAGAAGTAAGTCAGGAGTTCTCAAACTTTCTAAGCTTCCTCACAGGTTTGCCTGCGTGACTCAAAGACAAAAGATTTGTGGTGCCTGGAACTGCCAACACTGTGTGATGTTGTTATGTGTGGTGTTTAGAACAGTTTCTTTGCTGAGGAACACTGACTATACTTTTAATGAGATGACAAGCATTAAACTGCCTCCAAGTAGAGAAATGAGTTAAGAGTAATAGGAAATCACTGACACTGAATTAAACATCTTAAAGTATGATCTGAAAATGGAAGAGCAAAGGTCTCCTTTCTGTCCTTTCTGTTTGTTAGACATTTTCCATCTTGAATTCCTTCCAGTGTAACAAACAGCTATGATTGAAGCATGCTGGAGTTGTAAAAATACCATAAATATTGTGTATGCAACGTACAACAGCTTCCAAATTAGACTGAATGGAAAAATGCATTATTCTGGGGGGGGAAGAGAGGGGGTAGGGAAGCCCACCACTAAGTCTTACAAAACCAAAAAGAAACATAGAGAATTATTAGCTTTTAAGAGGCAAAATCTCTGCTATGAGCACATCTGGCATAATTCCTGAAGGACATTACTGAAGAATGCATGCCTTGGTATTGAAGCTGTCTTGAAGCTAATGAAGAAAGATCAGCATCTACTCTGTGCATGAAAATCAGTCAGTTTACCCAGTTGGCTACTGTGACGTGTGCTTGCCACAAAGGAAACTTTTAAATGGGAGATTATGGAAACATGTAAGAGACAGGGAAAGGAGAGACTGCCTGACAAAGTTCCAGAAAGTCTGTACAATCATATAGCATAAGGCTGGCTGTTACCAGCCTTTCTAAAGTAATAATTTTCTTACTTTTCAGTGTAATCACTGTTAAAAAAAACCCAACAGAACAAACCACTAGACATTTCCTGGTAAAATATTTATTACTGCTGGTGGGATTACCTCTGCCCAACTTTCCATTGCTTGCTTTTAATTCTCCTGTTCTATTACATGCTGATACATGCTAAGAATTCACATCATGCTACACTGTGCTGCCTGGCAGGCTGGCATCCACTATGGTGTGACATCCACTGGTGGGGTAAGGCTGGGAGCAGCAGGAAATACAGTAATGCATTATAACAAGAAGCTGTGTATCTTAGGCACCTACAGTACCAATAATTAAAGATGTCTACTGCATCAGGTAGATTTTTATCACAATAATTTCTGGTTGTACACTTTACCGAGAAGTAAAGCATTAGGGACTTAGGAGGGAAGGGGAGAAGCTGTGAACACATTCTTTCTGTGCTATCCATATTACTTCATTGTTGGGTTTGTGATTTATTTAAGCAAGGAAGGAGGAAATATTCAATAAGCTGTTTCTGATGAAG